ATGAGCATGATTGAAATCTTCCATTTAAATGGGTTAAATGTAGGATTGTGCCGCTACTTTTTCAGTATTTGAATCATGATTTTCGATTCATTACAAGAAATATTGTGGCATCGGATGTTATGCTAATGTATGAAAGGCAAAAAAAGAAAGATTAAAGTTGGTATTGAAAAATATTCCTGGTATGCGTTGTTTAATATACAATGTGTGGATTGCTTATACAAATGCTGGTTATATTTTCTTCATTGTGCATTATGTGGATGAAAAATGGAGGTTGAATAATAAAATACTTTCATTTTGTTATATGCCTCCTCCACATTCTGACTTTGAATTGTCTACGAAAGTTTATGATTGTTTGGTAGATTGGGGGATAGATAGGAAAATATTTTCTGTAACTTTGGATAATGCTTCTACTAATGAGGTGAGACTTCTAGCTAAAGCATCAACTTTTGTTATAAAATAGTTTGCTTTTGTGATGGAGAATTCTTTCATGTGACGTGTTGCGCACATATTCATAATTTGATTGTTCAAGATGAATTAAAAGTTGCTAGTGTCATATTAGGAAAAATTAGAGAGAGTGTTAAGTATGTTAATGCATCTGAAGCAAAAATGATATCATTTCAAGATTGTGCTCAACCTATTGGTGTTTATATTACTTGTGGACTTTCTACGGATGTGCCGACTCGTTGGAATTCAACTTATGTGATGCTTGATAGTGCTATAAGGTATTGTCGTATCTCTTGCTCTCTTGAATTACAAGATAGAAATTACAAATGTTGTCCTCCGGATGATGAGTGGTCAAGAGGGGAAAATATGTGTGCATTTTTGCATCCATTCTATGGTATCACTAATTTGATTTCAAGTTCATTATACCTTACTTCAAACTTGTATGTGTTGCAAGTTTGGAAGATTGAATGCTTGTCGTGATTCAATTGCCCATCCAGTGTACAATTGAGCATGATCTTCCATATAAATGGATTGAATATAGGAGTGCGCAGCTACTTTTTTAGTATTTGAATCTTGATTTTCGATTCATGACTGGAAATACTACGGCATCGGATGTTATGTTAATGTATGAAAGGCAAAAAGAAAGATTGAAGTTGGTATTGAAAAATATTCCTGGTATGCTTTGTTTAATATACAATGTGTGAACTGCTTGTAAAAATGTCGGTTAAAATTACTTGATTTTGCATTATGTGGATGAAAATGGAGGTTGAATAATAAAATACTTTCATTTTGCGATATGCCTCCTCCACATTCTGGCTTTGAATTATCTAGGAAAGTTTATGAGTGTTTGGTAGAATGGGTGATAGATAGGAAAATATTTTCTATAACTTTGGATAATGCTTCTGTTAATGATGTGATGGTGAGACTTCTAAAGCATCTACTTTTGATACAAAATAGCTTGCTTTTGTGATGGTGAATTCTTTCATGTGACGTGTTGAGCACATATTCTTAATTTGATTGTTCAATATGGACTAAAAGTTTCTAGTGTTGCATTTGGGAAAATTAGAGAGAGTGTTAAGTATGTTAAAGCATCTGAAGCAAGAATGATATCATTTTAAGAGTGTTTTCAACGCGTTGGTGTTGATATTACTTGTGGACTAACTACGGATGTGCCCGACCCTGTTGGAATTTAACCCTTATGTGATGCTTGATAGTGCTATAAAGTATTGTTGGGTATTTTTCTATCTTGAATTACAAGATAGAAATTAGAAGTGTTGTCCTTTGGATGGAGAGTGGTCAAGAGGGGAAAATATGTGTGCATTTTTTTTTTATCCATTCTATGGTATCACTAATTTGATATACGGTTCATCCTACCCTACTTCAAATTTTTATTTTTTGGAAGTTTAGAAGATTGAATGCTTTTCGTGATTCAATTGCCCAGTGTACAATTGAACATGATCTTCCATTTAAATGTGTTGAATATAGGAGTTTGCGGCTACTTTTTCAGTATTTGAATCGGGATTTTCGATTCGTTACTAGAAATACTGCGACATCAGAGTTATGCTAGTGTATGATAGGCAAAAAGAGATTGGAGTTGGTATTGAAAAATATTCCTGGTATGCTTTGTTTAATATACAATGTGTGGACTACTTGTACAAATGCTGGTTATATTTGCTTGATTGTGCATTATGTGGATGAAAAATGGAGGTTGAATAATAAAATACTTTCATTTTGTGATATGACTCCTCCACATTCTGACTTTGAATTGTATACGAAAGTTTATAATTGTTTGGTAGATTGGGGGATAGATAGGAAAGTATTTTCTATAAATTTGGATAATGCTTCTGCTAATGATGTGACTGTGAGACTTCTAAAGCATCAACTTTTGTTACTGAATAGTTTGCTTTTTGTGATGGTTATTAATTCTTTCATATGTGTTGTGCACATATTCTTAATTTGATTGTCCAATTAGATGCACTAAAAGTTGCTAGTGTCGCATTAGGAAAAATTAGAGAGATTGTTAAGTATGTTAACGCATCTGAAGCAACAATGACATCATTTAAAGATTGTGCTCAACTGGTTGGTGTTGATATTACTTGTGAACATTCTATGGATCGCGGATGTGCTGACTCGTTGCAATTCAACTTATGTGATGCTTGATAGTGCTATAAGGTATTGCCGTGTCTTTTGCTCTCTCTAATTACAAGATAGAAATTACAAGTGTTGTCCTTCGGATGAAGAGTGTTCAAGAGGGGAAAAGATGCATGAATTTTTGTAACCATTCTATGCTATCACTAACACCTAGATATTGGAGAAAAGCTTCAATAATGGAATAGTTGAAGATCATCAAAACGCGTTGGTCCATAACCATGGAGGATAGAATATGAATGGATTTGGAGGATTGCACAACTCACTAAACCACCAAAAAAGGTATCTTATTTACATTATTTTCTTTATTCGGTGTATTATATTCTATGCTAGCTTTCCAAACTTCGATCATTTACATGTCTTATCAATCAAAGCTCAACTTAACCTGTATATATTTTCTATATTAAAATTCTAAAAACGTTTATTAAGACTTTGAGTATGTTTAATTCAAAACTATTTTAAAGACTACCAAGTTAAGAGCGCATGACATTCAAGTTTCTTGTTGAGTTATTAACTAGTACTATATTATGAAGGCTAAAAATATTAGTTTAGATTTTTTATTTTTAAAAGTCTATTCACTTTTCTAGACTTTTTACTCATTTGGCCGGGGATCATCAATTAGAATGTAATTTATAAATTATAAATTATAAATTAAACTTGTTTCTAGACCATAAATTCGTTTTTGAAATGCCAAAGATATACCACTTAACTTTCTTATTTTATGATACACACTAGACACTAAGTTCTCCATTCGCATTCGCAATTTTAAGTAATTAATATTTACCCTAACATCACTATAATAATGTTCACATAACATAATTATATTATAATATGTTATATTATACACACACAAACAATGTTCATACTTCATAGATTCATTCAAAAATTTAGATATCAACTTAGTCATAAAAATCTCACCAATTGTCGTCCCATCACAAGAAATTTTACCAACAAAAGTGTTAAATATTAGCTTTTGCCTACTATATGCTCTCTTTCATAGATCATATATAAACCCTAAATAGGAGTAAATTAAAACTCTAATTTAAATTAAAGTTTTTGAAAGTGATGATGATCGAGTAAATATTATGAAAGTTCATGCCTCTTTTCTTTCCATTCTTCCCACATCATATATACCAAATCGTTGCATGTAGCTTAGCCACATGAACGAATATAATTGAAGACTTTCCTAGCTCCATGTGGTCATCACTCAAAAGGGCACATAAATGAATATATTGTTTCAATCCAATAAGTATTACATGAGTTAGTTTTTCATATATTACTAATATTTATTAACAAGCGAAATACTACTCCCTGCATCCCATTTTATGTGTCAGGTTCGGTTAACGAGGCTTGACTGAAGTTATTTACAATTTAATTTTTCATAATGTTAAGTTTAAAATTATTATGTAAAATTTATATATTTAGAAACTACATTAAAAGTACTATTAAACACAAAAATTTAAATTTAAAAATTATAACAAAATGCTAATAGAAACAAGCAAAGAAAAAAGAGTTGATTTGACCTATGAATAATAAGTAGGACAAATAAAATGAGACAATGAGACTAACTACATGTTTACTAATTGGAGATTTTTTTTCTCAGAAAAAAAAAAAAATAGAAAACTAGATATGTGAAAACAGAGAATGTGTTTACTTGTACATTATTTCTTCAATTTTAAAAACAAAGATGAAGAATGAAAAGTTGGCCTGGAGAGAAAAAAAAAAAAAAAAAAAAAAAAAAAAGAGAATACGTTTACTTATACATTTCTTCAATTTTGAGAACAAAGATGAAGGATGACAAGTTGGGGAGAAATGAAAATCAAATGAAAAGAAAACGTACTGAAAAAAAAAATGAAGTAAACACAACTTTAAGTTTTGAAAATATGCAAAAATGATACTTAAACCCTTGATTTCTAGATCTAGGGTTAACAATTAAATCAAGATATCATTGGCTCTAAATAGCATGTAATTGATACAAAAGTGTGTTTAGCAATTAGTAGTAAATTAAAAGATGATTACTTCATGCATGCTTGCCAAAGATGGTTGAGGATAATGGACAAATAACTATATATATAGCCATGTACTATAATATTATATGTGTGAATGTGATGATTATTCTTTAAAAAACCTAATTATAATGTTGTGGAGAAACAATATGTGCAATGACTCTAGTATATCATGATTTACCTATAATGATGCTTGCCTAGTGATCAACAATATTAAGATTCCTAACTATTTGGGGCTTCATAGAAAATGATTATTGTTTGTACTTGGCAACTTGGAAGCTCTGCCATTATTATTCTATCTCAACAAAACTGAACTCACAAATATTTTTATTTTGTTTTTTTGGTACATAAAAACCCAAAGAAAAAACATTAAAAAAAAAATCCATACATTAAAATTAAAGCTAGAAACTGATCTCACCACCAATTCAAGAAGCCATAAATTTACAAATCAAAGTTGATTTTGATCAAGTTTCAAACAGATCATCAGATGGGATCATTGAACTCTTGGAAGAAAGCACTAAAATACTGGAAATTAAACTAAATGAAAGAGGAAAGAATACTGGGGACTAGAGAGGTGAACATGAAATGGTCAACAAAACAACAAAATGGGGTTTTTTTAATTTGTTTTAAACCTTAATCTTTGCTAGCTAGATACTAGATAGTAACAATGTTGGATGAGATTAAGGTTATAGATAGCGAGAGGGATTTTACTGAATTACCCTTGTGATATGAATATGATAGATGGTGGATGGTTAGAATGGAGGGCGGCTACCGCCCCAATAGGCATCATTAGGCAGCTGAATGGAGTTGATGAGATTGGGTGGCACGCCCTGAAACATACCCTGCTCCGCCAATAATTGCCCTCCCGCCGCTCCCGGAGAATCCATTCCTCCGCCTTGGAACGGCGGCGCATTGCCGTCGTCTTCTTCTAACGGCAGCCTCTCGTACGCAGCGTTACTAAACGAAGCCGCCATTATCACGACCGGCCCGGCGGCTAAGAGCGCCCCCACCACGCTGCCGCCCACCACCTGCCCTTGTCCTCCTGCGAGATATATGGTCAACCCGGTGGCGCTAGGCGGCGCCGGCGGCGGCAGGAACGACCCGGCCAACGACAAGATCTCGAAGCGGCCGTGCAAGGTCACGACAGCGCCGGGGGACGCCGGCTGCCTTAGGGTTACGTTGGTGACGATTCCGTTCCCGCTCAAGACGCAGACGCCGCGCTGGCGCCTCTGGGCGAAGGCGGCGACGCTGTCCATGACGTCGCAGCCGTCGGCGATCTCCATGAGGTGGGTCCGGAGGGCATTGGCGCTGTCGCGGGTGATGATAATGGGTGGTTTGGGCTTGTTCTTGGATCCGGCGGGCCTCCCCCGCGGCCTTCGAGAGATTTCTCCTTCTCCGGCGCCGCCCAGCCCGTTCTTTGACTCTCCGCCGTCGTTCCCGTCGTCTTGCTGGTTGACTTCCTCCGGATCTCGCTGCTTCTGTCCGCTCTGCTCATGAAACTGCTGGGGATGAAAGTTGAAATCCCGGCTGGTGTGAAAAGGAGGAGGCAGTTGAGAATCCATTATTTAATTTCCGTTTAACAATCACTGCAAGCAACTTGGATCGGCAAAGCAAAGCTGGGTAGCAAGAAGTGGATTTAAAGGAATGGGTTTTGGGCGTGAAGAACCAAATCCTCAGCTGAATTATTCACAATAATCCCCCATCTTAGCTCAACATATGGGTTTCTTCTTAGCTAGGGGTTGATGGTTTTTAGTTGAAGGAGTTGGCTAGGGTTAGCTACTTCACTCTGTAAAAACCAACAGATAGTTGATGATACTCAGCTCTTCTACTTCTACTTCTAGTGTGGGCGCACACGGTGAATGGGACCTCCGATCTTCCTTCTCACTTCAACCCTACCATTAAACTAACCTAAATATTAAACAATCAATTTTAGTTTTTGGTCCCATCTCCCTCCCTCCATCCCTCCAGGCCACTTCCCTGTACACATAATATAATGGAGATTTTAGTGCACCTATGAGGTTAAACATTGATCATGTCACCTCTTACCTTAAAGTTATATGTCAAGAGTTATTATTCATGGGAAATATAATGAATAATAATGCTTTAGGAAGATTCCATATTTCATTATTTGGTTGCTGAAAAACTATATATAAAGATGTTGGGTGACAGCTCGAAGAGCTTAGTCTAACATCATGTCATCAAAATGTGGTGTTGACGGCTACGCAGGCTGTCAAGTATACATAAATAAAGTTGATTGTGTGTTCATTACTAGTTATAGCTTTTGAAGTAGTAGTAAGCGTTTGATCTTGACAATTAGTATCTTCGAATCCCATTGAAAGCATGTTGTGCAGTTGAGGCTAGCAGGTGCTAGGAGGGTGCACCTAAGTTCAATTGAAAGCATGTTGTGTAGTTGAAGTTGACAGGTGCTTGGGAGGGTGCACCTTCATTACTAATTATAACTTTTGGCATACTAGTAAGAACTTGATCATGACAAAAGGTTTTATAAAGAAAAAAAAAAACTAAGGTATACAAATGAATTATTTTTCTCATATTCTATAATGGAAACTCAAGGAAAACACTGAAAAATTATATCATAAACCACGTATAAATGTTCATTTTAGTATACTGAAAATTCATTTTTTTTTATTTATTGAAATTTCATTTTTAGGGTTCTAGCAAATTAAATTTTTTTTCATACTCTGATAGTAGGATAATAAACTCGGCCCTTCAAACCTTCGCCCCACAATGGATATATAAAGTGATAAATGCTGCTATAATGTATGCTAAAGTATTGGTAGATGTTTGGAAAGTGGAGTCCAGCATTCTACCATTGAAACATAGCATTGACTATTAAGCAAGTATAAGGAAATAAAATTACGTTATACAATCATTACTAGCTATAGATAGCTTTTGGCACAATAGTAAGCGTTTGATGTTGACATATATATATATATATATATATATATATATATATATATATATTCCTTTTTAGAGTTTTGTTGATCTCTTTAATTCCCTTGCTTGAAGCGCTCTTCTAAGAAATATAAAATTTATAGTTACCTTAGCTTGGAGCCTCATTAACTTGGAGGGTGTGGTTGAGTGGAAGGGGCTCATTCACCCTTAATCAAAGGTCACCCAAAAGAGATGCCTATAATCCAGCGAGGAAATTAGTCACTGAGTTCGACGGTGAAAACCCTAGGTATTCCCAAGAAAAAAAAAGCTTGTAGCCTCATTGGTTTGAGACTAGAGAGACTCTATATTAAGTACCTAGTTTACATAGTGTAAGTATCTATATATATATATATATATATATATTTGTGTTCTTTTGGTTGTGACATGTACACAATCAATCATGTGAATAAATAATTACAATTATGTCAACAATCTATTCACTATATACAAATATCACTATGTATGTACATATGTTCATGGATATTATATTTACCAAATACAAATTAGTTATGATGATTAAATTATCAATTTGTCATGTTTAAGAAGTAATATATAATATGATTATTTTTTTGAGTCGCATACTAATGTCATTGAAGTATAATATTCTTAACAATTTTTTTCATATGATTATCTTTTTCATCTATTAATTTATTATAAATTCAAGGTCAATCAAATTTGTATAAAATCTTTTGCACTAACAAATATAGAAGTTTTTGTTTTATTTGATGTGGCTTTATTTATTGTAATTATAATTATTATTCAAGAGTATTTATCGGGTAAATTCTGGTGAGGGCAGGGGTATATACTATATATGAACTGCTTAGCTTTTTCAGTGTTTCCAAGAATCACATGCGCCATTATCTTCTTCGCCGAGCTGAGCTCGATCTGCTCTTATCTCCAAGCTGCTTTTAGATTCTTAGTTTTGTTGTTTTTGGGGTGCACATGCTTCTACTGCAACAGACACGTGCCAGTTCCCCCGGAACTTTCGGATCTATCCTTTGAACTTCTTCAATTCACCGTCCTCGATCTCATGCATCATCCAGTGCCCACCCATAATCACTTGATTCCTGTCAACTGAGTTAGTTCTCCATTTCTTCTGTGCATGTTTTTTAAGCTTTATTTACTGTCACACAACAAGTTTGGCTTATTAAATCCACCAAACTCTTTACAACATCGTACAACGTCGTCCTTCCATATTTGTATATATACGTATAGTATATATGTAGCCTAGAGCGAGAAGTGGGGGCTCATTATATTAGCTAGCTAGGCAAGGTGGCCTGGGTGGTAGGTCACTAGCTAGCTGGGTGGGCACTCTGCCCAGCATATATTTGCATTTCCATGCATTAAAATGGTTGGATCCACTTGGACCACATCTATATAAGCTTAAGATTCAATTTCAATTGTGTCTTGCCCTAAAAAATTGATGGAAGAGATAAATGGAAATGTAATATTTATACGGAGAAATACCTATTCACAATAAAATATTTGTTACTTTTAAATTAAAATGTAAAAATGTTATATTTTTTCTTGAAAAATATTACACAATACAATATACATATTACATTTTTATATTGACTCGATCTGTTTCCCTGCACGGATAGGAATTCGTGCGAGGGTTTAACACAAATTTTTGTTTAAATTTTATACAATTCAAAAGAGCACTTGTAGCGTAGTGTCTTGTTCAGGCTTGGTAGCCTTTGAAAATTCGGAGGACCAAGTGTCATTATATAGGGTCACTCCTACGTGTAAGGCAAATTATGCTATGCAATGGTGTGTACTATGCATGGTGCACACAGAATTAGATCCATAATTTTTATACTACAGTTTATACTATAGATTCATAATTTCTACATTATAGATTCATAATTATTGAACTCTATATTTACAATTACAAAACTCTATGTTCATAATTTTCAATGTTTATATTTCCAATTGTTGAATTCTGTATTCACAAATCACTGAACTATATCTTCATAATTTGACAACTATACAGTTTGTAAATTATGAATCTATAGTATAGAAATTATGAATCTATAGTATAAAAATTATGAATCTACAATTTAGAAATTATGAATCTATAGTATAGCAATTATGAATCTATAGTATAGAAGTTATGGATCTATAGTATAGAAATTATGGATCTATAACGATTGCACATCATAACGCTTCTACGTGTAACCGCATAAGCTCTCCCAAGTGAATAGCATTTGACCCATAGAGGCATAGACCATTGGACCAATTATTGTAATTAAGGGAAGTCGGGGTTCGTAACTTCGGAAAGTCCTGACTCCTGAATCTATAAGTTGTTCAATAGATTGTTAAAATTGTGTTGGATCTCGATAAGTGCTGCAGTATGCTTATTTTCGAATGGGTCATTCATCCTATAAATCAATACACTTAACCACAAAGACCAATTGGTGACAAGTAGGTGAACATTAATCATTTAATCACATCTCTCCATATTAATTCAAAGCGTCATGTCTCGAATTGAATCGAGCAGGGCTGAACTCGACCGACTCGACTAATGTCCAAAAATCTCCCTCCTAGCACATGCTGCAACCTTTGATCACAAAGTCAAGTTACACGGCATGCATGCCTGACTCGGTCCTTAGCCTCCGTGCCCATTAATCTCCTGCTGAGATTGGACATGGCCAAACCTACCCCATCCCATCCGGGATTGGACTCGTCAACTACCTCACCATTGATTCAAATCTATGACTTTGACTCTAATACCAATTGTTCGATCTCTTCGTTGCACTGTGCTTACTTAGCTTCCTAGTGGGTCATCCATCCTGTAAGTCAAGTACGCTTAACTAGCTACGGAGTTCTTTGGTTAACTGGTTGCCTCATCCTTCTTAAAATCAACGGGTGATAAGTAGATGAACATTAACCGTTTAATCACATCATTCTATGTTAAGTCACAACGTCACGTCTCGAATCGAATAAGGACGGAACTCGATCAACCTGACCGATGCCTAACAAACTACTATAGAGGGGCTTTATTTTTAATTGATTAACCAATTGATTTTTCTTATGAAACAGGTTTGGACCACATACACCTATAAAACCAACCAGAGATGGTGGAGATGGATGCGGGTGTGGGTTTCGAAACGGACCACTACACGCATGTGTAAGCAGCACAAAAGCACGCATGTCAAATCAGGAAAAAAAAAAAAAAAAAAAAGAAAAGAAAATACTGTAAAAACGCCATAAAACTCGCCTGCCTGCCAATCTGACGAGTGGTTGTGGCAGATCAGACTATATATCTGAATCATGCTAGCTCGTTCTTTCACTATTTCATTGGTGCAAAAAACTAACCCTATCTGATCTGTATCAACAACCTGCAGACATAGCTTCATCCTGCTGCTCCTTTAACTACTCATCATTTACCAACTAGCTTTGCTAGCACAGATAGATCAAACCCTATCACCTAGCTGCGCCCTAACCTCCCTTCAAATTAAACCCCTTAGGCTGCTATTATTGGCCAATAACAAGGAACACTCAAATCCCATCCAAATCCCAAACCCCAAATCCCAAATCCAGTACAGTTCGTAATAAGGTTGGTTCATAATTCATAATTGGTTTTCGTTCTCGACTTCTCGTATCTCCATTTGTTACTTACTGTCTTACTCACTAGCATGGAAACAGACAACACAAAAACAAAATATAGGATACCAAACCCCAAAAAAAACATATAGGGAGTATTTGGTAAATAATTGTTAGTCTGTTAGCCGCAAATTATTGTGTGGACCATGGATGCAATATACATTTTTAATATACTAAAAGTATATTATTTATGTACTGGAAGTACATTATTTGATAATATATAAAAACTCATGTATTTTCAAAATAATGCACTTTTAGTATATTAAAAATGTACTTTTTTTATTTATGGTTCACACAAATGTAGGTGTGAACCATGGTCCATGGAATAATGATTGTCTGTTACCTTAGCTTATTGAGTTAATGAGTTTGACTAGTGGACCATGGTCCA